TCTTCTCCAGCGTGGGGCTGGCGGCTAGGGTTAAGGTTCGATGTGAAGTGATATATTTATACTTGTCTTCCTTTAATTTGGGTTGTCTATCGTGTTCGATTTTGACCGTCCGATCGCGTTTAAAGAGAAACTAAATCTGAACCGTTTATCGCGAATTGATCTTGACCATACGATCGCGTTTAAAGAGAAAATGGATCCAGACCGTCCACGCGCGTGAGAACAAATTCGGACCGTCCACGCTCGTGGGAATAAATCTGGACCGTCCGATCGCGAACACGAGGATTGCCAGCATGACGTCCCACATGGCACCGAGTCAGTGTTTCTTACCACGCGGCGCGCTCCGGTTCGTCGAGGCTGCTAACTGGGCGGTCTTACGTTGTATATTTTTCTTAAATTACGTTTTTACCTTTAGTTTTCGATTTTTCTTTCAAAAATACCTCACGAATCCAAATTTTCAACTCTTTTTTCCAAAATTATTTTTAATTTCATTATCCACCTAATTTTTTCTAATTTTTACATTAAATAAAAATTCATAAATTTAAAAATTATATTTTATATATTAATTTTAAAATTTTAAAGTTAATTACGAGTATTACAGTTTATATATATTCATCTAGAGTTTTTTATGCTTGAAAAATAATAATGAAGATATTGATATCAGGAAAAAAAAAATACTTTAAAATCCATACCATAAACCAAAAGAAATGCAAACCACCCACAAATTGAAAAAGATGGAATTGATTTTAGTTTGTTTACATAACTTGTAACACGATGATAATTGAACCTAAAAGTAAGGTACACCAAATTAAGAATTTGGTTGTAGGCACATGGCTAGAAGAGAAATTTTAAATCCTAACTTTTTATCACTATTGATTTTCGAGATATGTATAATTAAAATATCCTTAATCTATATATTAAGTTGTATGTATAATGGAATATCTATATATATACCCACATACATATATGTTGTTGTATTTTTTTTTTTCTCTTACACATGGAATTTAGAGAAAAGAGATAATTAGCCAAGATATAAAATGCAAACGATGCGAATAAAATACTTTTTCCATTAACCTGTTTTAGATCCAAGGTGAATTCAAGTTTTTGTTATTTGTAACTAGGTTGCATCTTGGTTTTGTGAGATCTGTCCCAAACCTAACCATTTGTCATTCCTAATTTTTAGGGTAATCTTGAGTTCTACTAAAGCATTAGATAGATTTTACTTTATGTGCTTAAGTTTTTTTTTTTTTTCTTTTTCCAAAGAAAAATTAAGGTAAATTAACATGAGAGCAAGGAAGGTTTCATCCAAAGCAAGGAGAAAATAAAGAGAGGAAATTCTCCGAACCCTAACCCTAATCAACATTTCAAGGTAGAGGAAGAAAATTCTCCAACACTTCATTTTCTCTCCTCCCTATATCTTTTTTTAAAAAAATTTTTTAAAGCTCTTCATTGACAAGCTAGGTATTACTCCTAATTTTGTGGAACCTTTGAGTAATGCAAGCATGATTTTATAGATGTATGATCATTATGGTAAAAGATATGCCAATATATGCTTTTAAAAAAAAAAACTAAAAGTTAAGTTAGGTTTAATGTGATCAAGTTTAAATGAAAAATAAAAAAACAAAATTTGAATTTCAATGTTTACATGTATGATATTAGTTGAATATTGATTTTCTTTTTTAATCTATAAGTCAGACATGCGTCCTAAAATTCTGATTTAGTTTTTTAAAAGTTGAATTTATTTGATCATATAATTAACAATCTCTATGAAATATCTTTTAAAATTTTTGTGAACTCTCTAATAGAGTTACTAAATGTTTCTATTCATTTTTTCTGGCAAAACTTTGACCTTTTTATTTCTTTTAACAATCATCTTCTTGTAATAGAGACAAAAAAAATTATAATACGATCGCTTAATTGACTATTCTTACCATTTGAACCTTCATTTATCTTTGTCATGTTCTTTATCTTTGCCATGATATCTACCTTTAGCAACTCATTTTGTCCCTCATTTTAATATCTTTGGTTTGAGTGTTATAAATTGCTTTACCTTTAGGTTAATTCATTGACTTAGTATGTCATAAGCATACGAAGAGCCCGGTTACTTCATTTATGAAAATGCTGCCAAATATCTTGATTCTTCCATAACTATTATTACGGGATCAAATCTCGGAGTTGAAGTTTTTAAAATTTTCGTAACCATTTTTTTTGTCACTCATGTTCTATTTATACAATTTTTTAAGGTCACAATTTCATTAGTTTTTTACTGGAAAAAAAAGTTGCCACTATTTTTAGAATTTGAAAGAATATTATTTTAAAATCTTTAAGAGGAATTTGGGAAAACAAAAAAAAAAAAAAAAACTCATCTAAGAGGGATGGTGACTCAGGGAACATAAAAAGTTGATTATTTAGAATTTGCTTACACTTACTTCTATGGATACGATTGCCATTGCAGTTAAAAGGAAAGATGGTTTTAGTTTAAAATCTTTCTGTTTTTCGTGGGTTATTTACTAATTATGATTAGAATCTCTATTCTTCATCAAGTATTAGAGATGTTGGGATGTAAATATGTACGTACGATAATCTGCAAGCACTTTGACTTCGATCTTCGATTTAGAATCGTTCTTTCAAAATATAGAGGACGCCCACTAAGGACTTTTTTGGTTGATATATGGGTTTTCCAAGATTTTTGTGGGTTCTGACTGCATGATGATTTTGACGTACACACATATATATGTTTTGAGCTATGCGTATGTTGTGTTTTTTTTATAGTCATTTGCGTGCATTCTGCTTCACATACACATTTTCTGTACATATATATATATATATAATTTATGGCATTTGGATATGTTGATGGAAGCTTGTTTATCAAAGTTGTTGATTTCCTGACCATCTTGATTGTTGGTTGTGTTGCTTTGGATCTGGTTTTTGTGCTGCTTAACTAATTATTAATTTCAACTTATAAACATTAATTTTCTGCTTATATTTGTGATTAATTGTTTTTAATTCTGTTAATTAATTTACTTTTCTTTTCTTTTTTTCTTTTTTTTTTTTTTCAAGATACTCATACAGATTAATCAAATGGTTGGTATTTGTAGGTGTCATATAACTAACAATTTCATTAACAAAATATGCTCCAGTTAATTAATTTATTGGTTGCTCATTTTTTTGTAGTAATTAATCGTAAATCATTCCAAAGCCTTGATCTTATTTCCCCTTGTGAAAATTGTGTGTTTTAAATATATTTATATATATATATTGAAAAGTGAGTTAATACCCAAAAAAAAAAAAAAAAGGGATGATTAGGCGTGTATAAATAACATGATAAAACTACATAATTAACCTTAATTACCAAGGAATTTAAGTCATAAAAAGAAACGAAAAACTGTAATTACAAACTTAAACATTCATTGCTCAACATAAAAGCTTCAGCTTTTTTTATTTGGTTTTCGTGGGTAATTAAAAAGTTAAGCACACGTAATTAATTCAAATTTATTACATTTATTTTTCTCATTAAATTATTTAATTAATAAGTAAAAGGAATTGTGTAAAATAGATACAATCAAAAGTAGAAAGTTAATAATTATAAGTAAAATTAGAATTAAAAAAGAAGACAAAACACAATTATGCAAATCTAAGAAAGATTTTGGTAAATAAATTAAAAAAAATATATACATATATATATATATGTATATATAGGTCAGGTAATTAAGATTTTCCTTATCAATGTCTCTTAGATTTTGTCCCCTTCTTTCTAGGCTTTATTTAGTTTCTCTAATTAAGTGGGTAAAATGATATGTTTTGTTATTTAGAGGGTTGGGTATTATGGTAAGTTCATTAAAACAATAAATTTAGTTGGACAATGAAATTTACATTTATTTTTCTTTTAGTTCCCTTACTAATAATTATTAGGTATATCCAATATTTTATTGTTGGTACTGTAGGATTTTGCCCATCAAAACCTCCTAGCTACTCTATACATACATAAAAATATAAATATGTATTAGTAGTGATTGCCAAGTTGTCATTACCTGAACAAATGACTTTCTGATTTCATACTATCTAATATCAACTATTTGTATTATTTCTAATTTAGGCAAAGTCTAATCCAAAATCTTCTTTCAAAAAGTGAAAATCCAAAACAAAATCATTAAACCCATCTGAAAACCAACAAATTTGAACTACCATTTCACTATACAAAGGGTTTCAACTCAAAATTAACCCATTTGATTTTATTATTAATTGTTTCAAAAAAAATTGTAGATTGAAGCTGAGCTTTCCATATCAAAGAAATGGGTATGATATAAATGTTATGTAAATGATGAGTTAGTTTGAAGGGGGGCATATATTGTTGCAAGGGTTTCCTCTTTTGAGGTCAAAATGACCCAGAGAGGGGGAGGTGATCCCAATTTAAGTGGTAATAATAAAGGCAGGGAGTGAAGTGAAAATATGAGTTTCACAGTGAAGAGGCAACGGGTCAAGTCTCTTTAGCAAAAAGCCAGGGGCTACAGTGAAAATATCAAATAGTTGTTTTTTAAGTTGAAAAAAAAGGGAAGATTGACCGTTTTTAAAGGGAATTAGTGAAATGAGGGCACTTGTCAGTTGAAAGGCATGAAAATGGTGAACAGTTCTTGTGGTCTGGAAATGGACAAAACGGAGCCGTTTTGCATTGTGAGTTGTAATTTTTTTTTTTCTTTTTTAAATTGAATTTTTTTAACTGCCAGGAAAAGAACCAATTAGTTTTTTGGGTTTTGTTTTCTATTGATTCCACCCTCAACCTATCCCCCTTCCTATGCAAACCAATTATAATTTTTTTTTTAGAAAAAAGAAAAAAATGAACTATTTTTGAGTCAAATTCCATGTTTTTTTTTTATAAAAAAAATGATTTTATCAGTCTGTTTTTTAGTTTTATTTTTGAGGTAGAGGAACTGAAATTGGTGTAGATTAAAGATGGTGAATTTGTGCTGAGTTGAGATGAGAAAGTTAGAGGCCATGCAAAACCAAGTTTCTAAATACATCAATACATACACATTCTCTCTCTTTCTACACAGGAAAAAGCCACTCTGTCACTGCTCTCCAAACACAAACAAAACGAGAACCCAAACGCAACCCACGCTGCTCTGCTACACACCATATGCCACGCCTTCTTCTTCTTCTTCGATTTCATCGAATTTTTCCTGCGTAACCTTTTCTGGGTATCCTCCATTGGATCATTTCTCATTACTAATGTGTAGCAGATAGCAAGCAGCAGAGACAGGGAGAGAGAAAGAGAGGTGGGTAATGGAGCACAGGTGAAAGCAGAAGAGGGACCTACTGCTTCATTTTTGGCGGGCAGCAACAGTCACTTTCAATGATTTGCTTTGGGTGCTGCCGGTGCTTCTCTCAAATCACCTATCTAATCACTCCTCCATATTGCTAAGAGAAAGAGAGAGAGAAAAGAGAAACAGAGATCTTTCATCACAAAAACCAACCCGTCTTCTTCAAGCTTTCCTTTCTTTTCTCTTTCATCAAGGGAGGAAGAGGAAAGGAATTAGTTGGTGGGCTGTGGTCTTCGTTGCCGAAGCTAGGTTATTTTTAAAAGGCATTCTTGTTTTAGCTCCTTGGGCTGGAAGGGGAATCCGCAGATCTCATTCATATGAGGAGATCTTTATCTGTGAGTTTATTTCTGTCATTTCTTTCTCTCTCCCCCCTTTTCCTGCTTCATTCTGTTTTAATTTCATGTTTTTTTTTCTATATTATTCACTTGCTTTTACTGTAGTTGCTGCTCTTCCTTCTGTACGACTGGGAGTTTTCAATAAGATCTGAACACAATGTTCAAAATGCATCCAGATGTAAGAGTATAAATCATCAAAAATTTCCTCAAGATTACACTATTAATTACTCATAAAAAAGAACAAAAATGATTCCAGGATCTGGGTGTTACTATATGTATGTTTTTTCATTCTTCCTTCCCCTCCCCACCTCCCTCTGCCCAAGTGGTAGCTGCAGTCTTAGTTATTATTGCTTATTTTTGTTGAGTGCCTATTTGTCTGCCTCATTCTTGAACCATTAACTTAAGGCGGAATGTGGCTTCTCTAACCAGCTGTTCTCTGGATTAGCCACTTGTAATGGCATGAGCTCTGTGAGCATCACCGAAGTCCATGACCTAGCTAATAAAGCCTCGCAGTTATCTTTTGCATGTTCTTAGTGAGCCTTTAACTCGTTCTTTTGATTTCACATTCTTGTTTCTCTTGCTTGCCTTTCTCTAATTTCTGCTTTTGTTCTGTATTCATGCTTGTAAAGGGGTAATACTAGCCAAAAGAAAATTCTAATTTGGATGAATTATGAATCAATTATCTTTGTGCTCAACATGGAATTTAATAACGATAGCTGCTTAAACTCGAACCTAATCATAATTTTGCACATTTAAGGATTTTCAAATGTTTATTTTCAGCTGGTAGATGTGCTTCTGGTTATTGCATTCCTTAGTAATGCTCCATGGGCTGTCAATGGCGGCTCAAATTGCAAGTACACCAGCTCAGGTGACATTAGGCCTCATAGTGTTACTATTACAGAATTTGGGGCAGTTGGAGATGGAGTCACTCTCAACACCAAAGCTTTTCAGAATGCCATCTTCTATCTCAATTCATTTGCTGACAAGGGTGGGGCCAAGCTTTTTGTGCCAGCTGGACGGTGGTTGACAGGAAGCTTTGATCTCATCAGTCATTTAACTTTGTGGTTAGATAAGGATGCAGTAATTCTTGGATCATTAGTAAGCTCTCACTTACTTTCTCTCCTTGTGCTTTGTGGTTTTACTCTGTTGATAGAACTGTGGCTAGAGATAGCACATGAGAGCTGTTATTAACAGAGTTATATTTGGTTGAGGATGCTGACAGTAAAGGAATCAATTTAGAAATTAAAGAATATGCATTTAGTAGATTTGTCAGCAAATCAATTTTCTCTGGGTCGAATTGATCTAAACATGCAAGATTTACCACTTATCTGTAATCTCTGGTAATCCGTTGTTAGTTCATCTTGGAACTTAACTAAAATCCTGAAATGAGTTGAGCCTTCCACAGGGACACTGCAATTGTATCTTAGCACATAATACTAACTTGTTTGTCCTGTATTGTCCAGAATTCGGATGATTGGCCAGTTGTTGATCCTCTACCATCATATGGTCGAGGTAGAGAGCTACCTGGTGGTAGGCATCGGAGCCTTATATTTGGACACAATTTGACAGATGTCATTATAACAGGTTTTTCATATTGATAAGGAATTGTATTTGATTTGCATTTTATTTGCCTTCCTGATGCCACCATTGCCGCCCTGCAGGTGATAATGGTACAATCGACGGCCAAGGCAGCATCTGGTGGGACTGGTTCAGAAATGGAACACTGGACTACACTCGACCTCATCTGGTTGAGTTGATGAACTCAACTGGGGTTGTCATTTCAAATCTGACTTTCTTGAATTCACCATTTTGGACCATCCACCCAGTATATTGCAGGTTAGTCCTCTCCAAATGAATCCTCTTCATTTTTTGTTGGACTTCAGGCGTTTAGCAGTTTTTATGAATTGGGGGAGAGTTGAGACTGTTTTTCTGGATGAACAGCCATGTAATTGTCCAGAATGTTACAATCCTTGCTCCTCTTGATTCACCAAATACAGATGGCATCGATCCAGGTGAGCTTTTTTAGACAGCTTCGAATTCTCAGTCTTCTGGATAGATAACTATTAGTATTTAAGTTATACTACTAGTATTTAATTTGAGTTATAAATACCAATTTAAGTTATACTAGCCAAATAAATAAAGTATTTTAGTCACAGCGATTTAAATGTCTAAAAAGTGCCAAGAAATTTTCATAACATCCTTCAATAATGAAAGAACACATACTTGATAATGAAAACGGATTCTTAAAATTTAAGATTGGAATTATGTTGATGCACAAGATTTGACAACTCTTTTTTAATTAACTTTTGCCTGATAAAGGTTTTTACTTGTTCTTATGGGACCTCATCAAATTTAAAGTTGTATAGAAGATTAGTCTCCTTGCTTTTATTGGGTGGACTCTTTTACTTGTAGTTAAACATCCAAGGATGAAATCTGAATCTTAAATTAATTTTTTCAGTTTAGTCATTCTTAAGGTCTGTTATTTTCCAACTTTCAAAAGGCATAACAGATAGTTGTTGCCTTCTTCAACTTCCTTATCCTTCCCTTTTCACTTTTCTTAGTCTTTCAGATTTGTCATTCATTAGGTTCTTATTACATATATCTAAATGAATCCAGATTCTTCCACTGATGTTTGCATTGAAGATTGTTACATTCGTACTGGAGATGATCTGATTTCGATAAAAAGTGGGTGGGATGAGTACGGCATTTCGTATGGTCGTCCCAGTACGAACATTATCATCCGCAGGCTCACCGGACAAACTCAATCAAGCTCTGGGATTGCCATCGGAAGTGAGATGTCTGGAGGTGTGTCAGAAGTTTATGCAAAAGACCTACATTTTTTTGATTCAAAAACAGGTATAAGAATAAAGACAGCTCCAGGAAGAGGCGGTTATGTCAAAAATATCTTCGTATCAATGGGACCATGGATAATGTAAAAATAGGTATAAGGTTCACCAGTAACTATAATGAGCATCCAGACAAGTCATTTGACCCAAATGCTCTTCCAATAATACAAGCAGTTACTATTGAGGATATCAAAGGGGATAATATAGGAGTAGCAGGCCTCCTGGAAGGTATAGAAGGGGACAAATTTCTGGATATCTGCTTATTGAACATTACCATGAACGTGACCTCAAAACTTCCATGGAACTGCTCTAATATTCAAGGATATTCTGACTGGGTTATACCAGAACCTTGTGGACCTGTGAACGAAAATATCTTTCCAGAGCATCGTTCGGATTGTTTCCATTTGTCAAATTACTTGCGGAGCTCAGCTAATAGAAATAGAGGTTCTTGGTTGCTATCTTGGTAAATAAGGAAAAAAGTATACTGTTTGCTTGGCAGAAAACCTTCTTCCCATACAGTCAATTAAAGAGGGTAGTTCGATTCTTGCGATTTCCTTACGCAACTGTCCAAGGACATGATTGCCTGACGAAGAAACTGAGTGAGTTGCTGATATGTGGTTGTTGATCTGTGAGGTGGTATTGAGAGGATTGTTTCTTGTAACTTTGTGTGCAGTAACAAATAATTGAGTGATTTGTAGATGAGCTTTATATTTCAATTCATCGTTTGTAGCTCTCTTTTTGTCTTATACAATGGTATTTGGAAAGATTCAAATTTTGGAGGAAATAGATTTTGAGGTTGTTTGGGTGAGAGAAAGAGCTTGTATTGTTGTCGTGATTTTGGCCATTACTTATATCTCAAGGAACATGAAAAGAAAGAGCTTGCAGAACTCAGTGTTTGCTGATAATATTCAACTGCTATGTATTCTCACAAATATAAGAATCAGTGAAGTTGATTTTAATTTCACAAGTGATGTAAGGAAGAAATAATAAGCTCATACACAACTAGCCAACAAATATTTTCTCAAAGGCTGAGAATCCAAAAATTCAATCAAATGATCTATCTTGGAGACGCCTCACTTCCATCCTGTTTTATGACAGAATACAAAACCTGCCTTGAAATGTAGGTTTCAAGTTCTTTGGAGACCTCTGTTAGTTTCAGGTCGAAATTGCTTCTGTACTTCTGCTTTGGCGATGGCACAACACCAGAGCCCGAAAATCGCCTTCTTGGACTTGAAAATCTTCCTGGTGACCCTGAAAGCCAGCCTTTTGGAAGCAGAGGTGTTGAACCTGATCCTGAGCTTCCTCCCAAACTTTTATCTGAATTCACAGAAGGTCCACATTTTGTCTCTAATGGTAGTGGCTTTAATGGATCATGTTCAACTGGCTTTGGTTTCATGAACCTTTCTCTGGCTTTCTCGGCTGCTAGTAGAGCTTTCTCTCTGCTCAGGTTTAACAACTTCCATGGGTCAATGCTCACATGGAAGCGTTGTTTTTGATTTAAGGTGGAAGATTCAGGATCTCGATCAATTTTTATGGACAGCTTTTGTTGATTCTGAAATACATAGGAACTGTAGAGTAAGGTGGGGATGGTTCAAATGCCTCCCAAAATGGAGTACAAAAACATTGAGTGTCCAATTACCTGATTTACTCTAAGTCCTCGGCACATAAATCGGGACACAAATGTTGACCTTTCAGGTGAATCAAAATCGCTGCTTTCATCTGAAGAAGAATCTGAATCATCAAAAGGATCTAGTTCCTTAAACTGATTTTCCTCTCTCATTGCCATTATGTAGTCATATGTTCTCATCCCCTGCAACAACACCCAGGAAACCAATTGCCACAGAAAGGAACAACAAAGATTCATATAACGGCAAATGCAAACAGTCTGACTGAAAAGATTGTTCTAGGGAAGAAAAAGAAAAACCATTTGGCAGGTATACAACTGAGAAGAGTAGAAGATCACTCAGTGAAAAGGAAAAAAAAAAAAAAAAAGGAAAAGAATGCTTAATGATGGTTGAATATCTCCTAGCAGGTGGTTGAATTTAATTACAACAACAATTATTTTCACAAGGATCTAATAAATATAGTTCACAGGCAGACAAAATTACAAAAAAAAAAAAAAAAAAAACCAAAAATTATGGGTCCATTTGGGAGAGAGAGGAGTGAGAAATAAGGATCATTTGATTATTCCATTAAAAAAACAGTTTGGGTAAACTATATTAAATAAAAATTACTCAACGATTAATTTGTTCCCTCTTCTCTTTCCCTTCCCAACCAGATTCAAGGTACTTCTCAGCAAAATTTAGCATATGTAACACAATAAAATCTTTGATTTCCCATGCAAGAGCAAGGCAGTCAATTTATTTATTTATTTTTGATAAAATCAGTAACATTGACCAGGAAGGATAATGATTAGTACCGAGAAAAAGAAGTATTATTGCAAGACATTTTAAGTCTTAGGATAATGATTATTATGTCTACTGTCTACCATTTTCCAGTAATTAGTAAAGATATAGTGGAGTTTGTTTTGGGACGAGGATTAATGTGCAATCATACGAAGTGTTGAAGGGAGCAGGTGATTTGGAAGACATGGGTTCCACATTTCTATCTCTTGTGAACCTACGTCAAAGTTCTGGATGATTTTTGACTAAATGATGGTATTCGAGGCATAAAAATTATAGTTTAAAAATAGTTTAACAAAAACTTTATGAAATTTCGTGCCTCAAACACCATCACTGCTATTAAAGCTCATTTCTTTAGGAGCAAGCACCCAAAAGAGGAAAAGTTTTATATATATATATATATATACTTTTATTTTTGTGAAATCTAAAAATTTACGTACATAGAAATTAAGTAGAAGCCACTCCGTTGGAGAAAATGATTACATTAAAACGCACCTAAAGGTAGTTTGAAACGTATTGAGAGGTGGAGTCTGATTAGTCGTCATAATATAGAGATGCAGTAAATGTTAAGTGGTTTGCTCAGTGGTTGGTATTGAGAGGTGGAGTCGCTGGAAAAAAAATCAGACATGGGAGGAAAGGGAAAAGGTGACATTGTCCAAAGATAACAAAACTGTTGAATGCAAATGGATATTCAAGAAAGGAAAAAAAATCTTACGATTAGAATCAGCAGAATTCAAAGCAAGGCTGGTGGCTCTCTCACTTCTATAAGGTATATTCTCCAGTAGTGAAGCATGCATCATTCTGGTTTTACTAGTCATGGTGTGTGCTTTAACTTGGAAGTTGACCAGCTAGTTTTAAATCGACATTTCTGCATAGTGAGTTAAAAAATGAGATGTATATGAGGTAACCTGAGGAGGTTTAAAGTTCTAACTTGGAAGTAGTGAAGCATATTCTCCAGTAGTGAAGCATGAATCATTCTGGTTTTACTAGTCATGGTATGTGCTTTAACTTGGAAGTTGAGCAGCTAGTTCTAAATCGACATTTCTACATAGTGAGTTAAAAGACGAGATGTATATGAGGTAGCCTGAGGGGGTTTAAAGTTGATATTAAAGAAAAACTGTGTATTTCTTGAAAAAACCTATAATGGCTAAGGCCTAAATGCCATTGACCTAATCCTAGAATTTTTAGTTATATATATACAAGTCTAGAAGTTACATATTTTTCCAATATGAAATGTTTCACAATCTCTATAACACAAATATTAAACCCTTATGTCATAATCACAAATTATAATTCAAAAATTCATAATGTCTAAAGATTGTACGAGTTTAGAGTCATAAAGTTGGTATTTATTTTAATACCATTTATAATATTCTGAGCCCTAACAACGCCAGCCAACATCTTTTTTGTTTCAAACCATCAATCTTCAAAAAACTAAATCAAGTTATTAATAATTTATAGTTTAAACCTTTAATAGAGTTCAACAATCACATACTTTTTCAACGTGAAATTAAATTATCACAAAATCATAATAGTTTGAAACAAACACTCAGACAATAGTAAAAAAAAATTTGATTGTTATATCATTGGTAATGGATTTTTTAGAAATCCATATGACAAGTTAGTATTTTTATGAAGGTGAAAAATGTGGCTTTCATTTACTTGCTGTTGTATGTTGAGGACATTAGTTGCAGCAAAAAATGTGACATAGATAAACGTATTAAAGGAGCATTTAAAAATTGAGTTTCAAATGAAAGATCTTGGTAGAGTGAAGAAAATTTTGGGGATAGAGATCGAGAGAGACAAAGAAACAAGAAAGATTGCTGGTCCAAAGATAATCATTGATCCAAGGTGGTGTAACTTAGTAAAGGAAGTAGGAAGGCAATTTCTATTCACATGGCATGCTGCAACTAAGTTAAAGGAACTACAGACACTTTTTTTCTTGATAATAAATGAATAGGAAAAAAAAGTGTGTTTCCTAATATTGACATATCTTACCAGAAAGAAGGTCAAAATGAAAAATAGAATTCTTGCAGATGTCATAACCTATTAAAAATGGTTTAATGTGTATTCTATTCAATATTACAGTATTATATGTATAAGTTTTCTAGGATAGAAAATAAAATAAACAATTATACAAAGGAACCCTAATATCCTTCAACGTAATTTACTCTCTCTTTAACACTCCTCCTCAAGTTGGGAATGAATGTCGTCCATCCTAAACTTGCCAATAAGAGTTTGGAATTTTCACTTGTTTAGAGATTTAATTAATACATCTATTAGTAGAAAATTGATGGACATGTATTGGGTATTAGGTCATTATCAAGTTTTTTTTTGATAAAATGTTTGTCAAGCTCGATGTGTTATGGTCCGTTGATATTTTATTAGATTGTCAGTAATGCTTATGAGATACTTGTCATAGTATAGACACATAGAATTTCTCCACTTGATTCCAAGATTTTTCAAAATTCTTTTTATTTATAATACTTTACATACCTCTTATGCCATTGTTTAAAAATCTGATTCTGTACTTGATCTCGCAACTACATTTTATTTCTTATTTCTTCAGACAACTAGATAACTAAGTCGACCCCAAAAAAGATACAGTAACTTGTGGTGCATCTACTTTTTACTACTAATCTTGTATAATTGGCATCAATACAGTATTGTACGAGTAATAAATTATTCTTCTTGAATAAAATTCATTTCGTTTGTGACTCTTTCAAGTATTATAGTATTGTGTAACATGCTAGCAAGTGCACTTCATTTAAATTGTGCATGAATTAGCTTATAACACTTAATGCATAGGTGTCTAGTCTCTTGTGGGTTAGGTAGATAAATCTCTCAACTATTCTCTTATACATTTCTTTATTTACTAGTGTATCTTGTCTGCTATTTCTAATTTATGATTAAAATCAAATAAAGTGCTACCTAGTTTGTATACTAGCTTGTTAGTATCTTTTAATAAGTCATGCATGTATTTTTATTGATAAAAAAAGTCCCTTGTTTAGAATGAGTAACTTCATAAAATACTCAGAGAATGAGCAACTTCAATTCTCATAAAATACTTTAACTTGCCTAGTTTTTTAATTTTATTCTTTTTGTCATGCATTGTTTTAGTCGTTGTTCCTTCTCATAATTTTTTGTTACGATAATATCATTAATGTATACTAAGAGAGTTGTAACTTTTCCTATCCTACGTATTTGATGAATACAGTGTGGTTTTCTTGAGTATGCTTAGATTCAAGATCTATCATCACTATTGCAAACTTACTAAATCTTGGCGATTGCTTGAGTTTACACAGAGCCTTTCTTAGTTTACGTACTTTATTAGTCCTATTTCTCTGTCAAAGTTTGGTAGAATGTTCATGTAGATTTTTTCTTCTAAACCTCTATATAGGTACTTTTTACATCAAATTATTATAATTTTAAGTCAAAGTGAGTAGATAATGATAAAAAGATTCACAGTACTTATTTTGACTACTGGTGCAAATGTCTCCTAATAATCTATTTCATATATTTATGTGTAATCTTTTTGCATACAGTCTCTCTTTATATCTCTTGATTGTCCCATTTTCTTTATATTTTATACGAAAAACGCATTTGCATCCTACAAGTTTCTTGCTTTTGGGTAAATCCATTATTTCTCAGGTCTGATTCTTTTCAACTGTATGCATTTCCATACTCATAGTAGTTTTTCATTTTCCAGAGGATAATATCTCAAATATTGTGTTAAAGTTAGACACCTTAATTAAACTTGTCATAAAATTTTTTTGATAAGCATTTATCAAATGGTATAAAATTGGGAGATAAGATACAGAGGGTATTGAGTGCATTCTCTTGTACTTTTATAAAGTACAATATGTGTTTCATTATCAAATGATTTTATAAGTTTTGTAGAACTTACCTCAGTTCCAGGATCAAGGTTGGATTCTGATTGAGAAAATCTATTTACATCCCACTGGTTTCTTCCATTTGAGTAGATTCACCATTTCCCAAAAGTAGATCCACCATTTCCCAAAGTCAAATTCTTTTTCAAGTGTCTGTATTTGTACACTCATAATATTTTTTATTTTCCGCAGGATAATGCCTCAGATACAGTGTGAGAGATATTATCATTATTTAAATTTATGAAGAAGTTTATTTATATTGATAAACATTTATCAAATGACACAAATTGTGAGATAGGGTGCAGATGATGTTTATTGCATTCTCTTGTACCTTTACGAAATGCAATTGGTATACCATTATTAGAGGACTATATAAGTTTTCCAAAACTTACCTCAATTCTAAGATTAAGATCAGATTTTTGGAGCAGTTTTGATTGGCATCTTTTCTCTTATATACACTTAATAAAATCTAGGGTTTGGTATGATATTTTTAAGATGATAGATTTTGAATATTCTCTTATAGTGGTGAGCTCTATACGTTTTCTTGTCGTGATGGTCTTAAGGTGTATGCCAAAAGTGGTAAATTAAAATCTATTAAGAATTTTGTATCTTTATCTTCTAATATAGGCTCTTCTTGAAAACAAGATTGGGTGAAGTAGGATTTTTGTGTAGATACTAGAAGATTGACCATTAGATATTGTGTTTTTCTTGGTATAGATTTGGTTTCTTAGAGTGCAAGACACACACTAGGGTCTAGATCACAATTTCTAGATATAGTTTAGGAAGATAAAAAAAGCCACTAGATATTGTGTTTTCCTTGATATAGATTTGGTTTCTTAGAGTGCAAGACACATACTAGGGTCTAGATCACAATTTCTATATATAGTGAAGACAAGATTGGGTGAAGTAGGATTTTTGTGTAGATACTAGAAGATTGACCACTAGATATTGTGTTTTCCTTGGTATAGATTTGGATTCTTAGAGTGCAAGACACACACTAGGGTCTAGATCACAATTTCTAGATATAGTTTAGGAAGTTAAAGAAGCCATTAGATATTGTGTTTTCCTTGGTATAGATTTGGTTTCTTAGGGTGCAAGACACACACTAGGGTCTAGATGACAATTTCTAGATGTAGTTTAGGAAGTTAAAGAAGCCACTTTAATCTAACACTAAATGACCATTGCATTATTCCTTCCCAAAATCTTTGAATTTCTACTGCTAGGTGTTAATTTTATTGAATGTCTAATATCGACAGATATCTCAACAGCACTGGAAATGAAGTTTTCACAAGAAAGAAGATTCACGTGCCAGAGTTACCTTTCTTATGAGAACTACATGGAAAAAGAAAAGCTGTCCCATTGCAGCTGAACCGTAGGCTGTCAATAAAACCAGCAAAACCTGCAGAAAAATTTTTGTGAAACCTGTGAACAAAAGAATCTGCATTTGGAAAAACCTTGAGAAAGTCTAGGAACATAACCACGTCTTACTGATATTGTAGCTAGAGCCCCTCTTGGAAACTCCACAAAGAGCCTTCTCTGCAGCTCCTGTTCAATTCCTTTCTTGTCTGTAAAACACCTGATGAATATGGCGATGGCAGTTCCTCCTTCTATGGTTAACTGTACCAGTGACAAATGCCAGAGAGTACATAAACTAAATGGCTGGAGTTATAGCAATGTGTGACATTCAATTTGGAGATACAAAGCTACTGACCATTAACAGAACAAAAACCATCAGAAGAAAGAATGTTGTGTAATTCCTTTTCCCCACACAATTGTTTAACCACTGGAACAGAAGACAGCCAGGTATAAGTTTGCTTCTCAAAATGTTCCAATAGAGACAACAAAGTTAGATCTTTTCTGGATCCCTAAAATAAAAAAAAACTCACAGTTCTTACCCTGCAATGGTGATCAAACCCTTCAACACAGCGGTTGCAGGAGCGGCAATGCTTGCTGTGCTTTTTCACCTACATGGTTGATAGAGAATTTTTACACTTTCTAGTTTCAACAGTGATGAAAATTTATTTCATTTTTATCTACATCTTTGGTTAGCAAATTTCCCTCTTCTAGACAAGATCATTCCCTCTGAAAAGATTACTGCAAAAACAGTACATAATGACAAACCTCAAAATCGCACAAAGAGCAAAAGGAGATGTCTTCTTCTTTGGTTTCTGGTGAAACTGCATCATCCTTCATGACTAGGGGAAATGGAAGCAATGGCTCCAGTTGCATACTTGTCTTCCATGGATCCAAGTACTTCCTTCTTATAAATGTCCTGAGAATCTTCCTCTCAAGCCTCCTAAAAAACCTCACAACCAGCTGAGTCAGTATGAACCCATAATTGAACTCCAAGACCGCTTTTGATTTCACCCGTTTCTTCTTCCTGCTGCTGGTCTTGTCTGTGGGATCAATTGATGTGCACCTAATAAATAAGAACATGACTGAAAGCGCCTGAAAATATGACAGAGAAGCATTTGATGAAGTTTGTACAGGTTTTTCTCAATAAATTGACTCAACTAGGGGAACCAGAATTTGGATTGCTAAGAAAATTACCACAAAGGAGAAGGTTGAAGTAACTGTTATTTCAGCTGTTCTGTTCCCGAGAAAAAGGCCTAAGAAAGTATAGAAGGCCACAACCAGAAAACTGTACACTGCCATTCCAACAATCTGCAATCCAATACGAGTTACAGCTTGATCAGAAAACCATGAGACAAAATTGAATGTATGATGGGTTGGGTATTTATAATTTAGAAGTTTACAGCTGTAGAAGAACAAAATTTCAAGACGATTAATCAGCCAAAGCAAACACATACAGCTCCTGATGAGCGTCAAGCAAAAAAAAGGTAATTTGTTATTATAATTTTCTGGAAACTAAAAACAAAAAGAGCAACTAAGAAGTAAGTTGGGGATCTTGCTGCAGAATTGATGATTAAACTAAAACGAAGAAGTTTTCTGTTCAAAGCAAAATTTATCGGTGAGCGAAATTTAACAATTGCTACCACAATTAAAACACTCAGCTTTGAAATCAAGCTAAAAAAGAAGAACGAGGAGTATAAGAGGAGATAAAATATAAAGAAAAAGAAACGATTAAGCGAAGAGTAAATAATTACCTGTAGAGGATGGAGAGGTCGTTGCCAGCCATGGCGTCTCATGGTTAACTCAATAAGCAGGCTTTTCAAAATCCAAACAAAGGTAGCAACCTTCTTTTGCTTTAGAACTCCATAGAGACTCAGCTTCCAGACCAGAGCCAACTGCAAGTTTTTGTCGTTTAAGTTAAAAACTCCATCAAATCGTTTTTGTTTACGCTTTTGTCTCGCATTTCGATGCTCCGATTTCTTTTTGTTTTTTTGAAGAGGAAAAATTAAAAACAAAATAAAATAAAAAAGGCAACGGTCGAGTTTTGGGAAGTTTTGAAATTTAAACGGCGCTTAGATCTGGTGATATCGCACGGATAATTTTGTTTACTTTGGCGGTTTCAGATTAGACAAAATACTATGGGGCCCAGGGGATGATTACTTTCACGGTGATCCTTTGAGGGTGATGTATATATAATGTGGTGTACAGTGATTAGGGATCTGGGCCGTTCATTATTTGGACTCATTTAGATTTTGAAATTAGGCCCAGAATGGGTAAACTTGGAGCGACCCCGTGTTATTCAATCATTTATTTAAATGTAAAATTGGTTTTCATATTATTAAATTATAATTAATAAACTTGTTTAGAACAAATAATTGATAAAGTTCTTAATATCATCACTAATAAATTTAACAAAATGAGATTATAATTTATGAAAAATTTCTAAATAAAGCTACAATGCATTTAATAAAAATTAACTTTTATCATTTGCCTTTAGGAAAGAAATTATGATATTTAAAATCATTTTGTAATAAGTGCTTAGAGATGATTGATTAGGGCTAAAGTTGCCATTAGCATTGGTTGAGTGTAACTAGTTCTTCTCCAGTCGGCTTTTATCACATTCCCTAATTATTGTGTAAGTATTTACGTTTTTCAGGTTTCTGTTAGAAACTCCCTTGCTTGCATGCATACATACAATATATTGTTTTCAAATTTTCTGTAAAAGAAACACCTCCAGCTTGACTTCTTTCATGCTGAAGAACCAGGTGCAAAGACTTTATTTATGTGTAGTAATGGTTCTAATAGCATGATCTGTGATTTAACTACTAAGAATGATTCATTTAATTTTTTTTCAAAAATCTAATGACTCTGTCTTTCTTCTAATATTTATGTGATACATTAACCACATCGCATGTCCATTCATAATTATATACAGGTACGAGGACGTAGATACCATATTAGAAATAAGTGTAATTAATAAGGGATGCAAGTAAAATGGATTAGTAAGGGTTTTTTTGTTTTGTTTTTTTCAATACAAATAAATGAATAATTTGGTAAAATGTTGAAAAACATACCGATTATGACTTTTTAGAATTTTTTTTTTTTTTTTCGTGTTTAGCTTCAATGAAGAGATTTATCATTGAATGATCAAGAAATTAGCGCTTAGATACCATATTAGAAAAATGAGTTCGATTCAATCATGAATTGATTGAAGTTCTGAAATCCAACAACTCAAGCCAATTGGAAGAGAATAAGAGAGGAAAACAAGGGAGACGATCAGTTTTGATTTAAGGAAAAATTAAAGTGCCTATTGTTCATTAATTACTGCTAACCATTAATTGATTGTAACTAATCCTAGGATTATGATTGATTACAACTAATTACACTAACCTCTAATAATATTTACTAGAGAAGTCTTAGATAAATGAAAATGAAAGAAATATATTTATTTAAGACACCAACTTGAGTATATTTAATTAAAGAATTGACTATAGATGCAGTGGGTGTTAGAGTATAATTATTCTAGTAATATAGTCAAGGGAGTGTTGTATGTTAATGCAAAATTCATGTTTATTTATATACTTTGTTATGTGAATCAATGCTTTATAGAATAATTTCAGTACTTCCATATGACATTTGTATAAGTTATCTTTATTATTAAAGTTTATCCCATTTTACACACACACACAAAAAAAAAAAGAATATTTAGGTCAATCATGTTTAAAAATATATATGTTCTCTTATAACCATAACCATGAATTTTTTAAATAAATAAGAGGAGAAAAAAAATATGAAATTAAAAATGAATATTCACTACAAAAAAGTGAGTAACGGCAGCGGAAACTCAGACTGACCTGTAACTTCTATTTCCTGAATCCACGACTTTTACGGAAAGAAAGAGACATTTTCATCTCCCAAGAAAAAGAAACTTGAGGTACACTAAACAATATAATACCCTACACAATCTTCATTTTCATCTCTGCCGTCAAAAATTTAGCTTCCTTTCTTCTTTCTGATGCAAACTGTGTTTTATGTATTTTTTTTTTCAGTCGGAAAGAGACAAAAAGATTCAATCTCAAAATGAAGTAGGTTGAAGGAAAGGAGATCAGTATCAGTGAGAGAAGGCGAGCTAAATAATGAAAAAAAATAAAGAAATCATTTACAATTACGCTATTTTTGATGACCTTGTCTTGCGATTCTCCCATTGTAGCTTCGTCAAGCATCTCAATGATCTAGGTCTATCTCTTCTACTCTGTTCTTTCCTTTTTACATTTTTGTTGCTTTTGATTTTTAAAAAGAAAAAAGAAATATTATGTTTTTATTTGATCTTTTTATAATTTTATGATCATTGTATTTATTTAAATTTTTTATCATTTAATGAGACGGTGGTTATTAGTGGTGAATTAAATGATAATTTTATTTTATTTTTTTATTTTTAAATATAATATTTAAAATTACGTAAATTACGTATACTGTTCAAAAATTACGGGGATAAAATTCTTTGACCGAATATAATTAATTACTAGATTGATTATAATAAAATATTAGATTTAGTATTTGAAATTTTCATTTAAGTATTTAAAAAAGGAATGATTTAAAAAAATAAATAATAATTACTAGTACTAATTAAGATAATAAATCAATAATTTTTAAAAAAAAAACACACCGTTTAGGAAAAAAATAAAAGGAAAGAGGAATCAGTTTCCTGGCAAATCAATGAATGAGTTAGATTAGGAATGTGGATCCTTTTGTACGTATAGAAAAGGAAATCGGTGTTATATTTAGACTGCACTCAAATCAATTTCATCTTTGCTGTTTAAGTTTGATGGAGGAAGCTATGTCTGCAACTGATTCAGCAAGGAAGATGATAGATGATGCGGAAGAGAAATTTAGAAACAATGACATTAGAGGAGCCGCACGCTTAGCATTCAATGCCAAAAAACTAGATTCAACTTTCGCTTCTTATCACACTGCTTACTTGATTCACCTGGCTGCAAAGAGAACATTGAACAATGGCGAGGTAGATCATTATGCGATTTTAGGGGTGGAGAACCTCTTGTCGGCCGACAAACAAACGATTAAGAACCAGTACAAGAAGATAGCTCTGAGTGTTCATCCGGATAAGAATAAGTCGGTTGCGGCCAATGGTGCTTTCAATATAATTAGTGCAGCCATGGAGGTGCTTTCAGATTGTTCGAAGAGGAAGGCCTTTGATAGTCGCCGTGCGGCCTGTCTGCAACGAGGAGGATCGATAAGTGTGGAGAAATCAGCGGCGCCGGTGAAAGAGGATAGAGCAAGTGCTTTGAGGAATGCTAGTTTTCCGGTTAAATGTTGTCGGTGTGATGATGAAGGAGCTTGTCTTTCTTATCGGAATGAGAGGTGGGTAACGTCCTGCAAAAAATGTGGCCATTCCGAATAATACATACCTCGAATTTTCTTGTTCGTAAAAAAATTAGATGATATATTTAATCAAGTTACCTCTAGAACCCTAAAATTGAATCTAGATCCAAACACTCATACATTGCTGATGGCAACAGAATTTGCAATTTAGTTTTATTATATTCTCATTCTAAGTAAATTTATTTATGTTATTTTTTTAAAAAAAATGTAATGAAATAATTTTTAGAAAAATATTCTTTTATTATATGGATTGATTGATTGATTAGATTTGCCAATCCCGCATTGAGTCAAAGCAAATTAGTTATGAACTAATTATGTATAGATGTAACTACAGTTAAGGTAGTGATGAAATAATAATAAATTAGAGGAAGTTTAGAAAAACTAACCTTAATTTAACCCAAATTTCCAACAAATACACATGACATGTATATTTTCTCTCCCAAACTATATTTTATACTCTGCAATCATATTAACCATAGTTACACTCCAGGTCTCTAGGCTTCCTCAGTGCAACATATCCCCATGTATATATGTATTTCTAATAAGATCAATACACATATAATAATTTCAGTGTTAAGCATATATTGCTTATTAACTGAATTTGCAAAAGCCTTTTGCAACATAGGCACGTATATACACATATGCCAAAATTTTGATCCACAAGCGCCCAAGTAGTCGCCAGCCATATCAAGAACAGTGTCGTAACTGATCCTCTATAAGTTCATAACGCTGTTCAAATCTCAGAAAACCTTTAAAACCCCAAAGCTGAAAGCATGCCAATAATGGTTTAATCACCACTTAGCTTACAAAATCTCAACAACCTGATTGTTCTTGACAAGCAGTAGCCCACCTACCAGCTTATCACGTCACCATCAAGTATTGTGGATTCCTTCTCTTAGGAGTCAATCTAGCTTAAGGAAACAGGTATGTAAAACGACATATGATGTTTCAGAGGCGATATATATATATATATATGTACGTATCCACATATAATAATTAAACGTATCCACATATAATAATTAAAGGTACTACTGATGGATCACCCACACCTCAATTGGTGGAGAAAGTGGTGCAGGATTGTTGGAGCTGTGGAGAACCCGGCAATCCAGGTACCCCATTAGGTGTAACATTGATGTTCTCATCAGTGACGTTGTTACTACCATTGTTGGCATCATTGCTACGTGGATTGCTCCCTATAATGGATGAAATGGCAGCCGCCAAGGCCGCCGTGAAGTTGGGATCAGAAGCAATGGCAGCAGTCACAGTCTCCACCATTGAAGGTGGGCGTTGGGCTAACTGCAACGGTGGCATAGCTGGGAATTTATGGGGGGCGACAAACATAGGGTGACCTAAAAGTTGTGGAGAGCCATGAAGTGGGAGAGGAAAAGATGTTTGGGAACGGAGGAGGTGCATAGGGTTAGGGGTTTGGGTAAGGTCGAGGGTGATGGTGGGAAATGGTGCGGAGGCTGATAAGGTGGCCATGGTTGAGGCGTAGGGTACAGAAGATAAGAAGGCAGAAGTGGGTAGAGATTCTTTGGTGGAGGTGGAACCTGAGAGGAGCATTGCTGCAGCGGCCGATGTGGTGCTGGCCATGGCCGTCGCTGCTGGAGGTAGAGGATGATTGTGGTTGCCTTCATATGTTGTTATTAGAATACTCTTGTCATCTGCACATCTTTGTACCTATTTCCCACAATACACAAATATGTTATTACAAACGAAAAGAATTTTTATGTTTTGATAAAATTCATTTAAAATAAAAATATTTTTAATTAGAAATTATTTAATTTTATTTATTATTGTCATTTTAAAAATAAAAACTAGATGTCTAATAAAATTATAATTTTTATTAAAAATTAACATTATTTTACAAAAGCTGTAAATTATAATTTTTCTATTTAAATTTTATAAAAATAAATTTTGATTTTAAATTTTATCAAAAATATTTTTTGTTTTGAAAAAAACTCATAAAAAATGGTGCTGGGCATAACATAGTCTGAGTTCTACCAATATTATATATATGTGTGTGCGCGCGCGTTTGGAAGAGAAAGAATCTGAATTAAAATTTAACCTGCTTGCGGACCGGACACCCAACAGCCATAGTACAACGATAGTAGGCGCGTGGACAAGGGTTACCCTTCGCCATCTTCTGACCATATTTCCTCCATTGACATCCATCACTGATCTGCACCAAAGGATTTTCTGATATTAAGTAAAAGAGAAATTCTTGTACTGGATGCAAGTAATTTAAGTTTACCATGGGAGCTTCTGATCTTGCTCTTACTGAGACCCTTGCTTTCCTAAAGGGTGCCTCTGGAATTTGATCTTCGTTTTTGTTTTGATCTGATTTTGGACTTTTAGGGGACCCCCAACTCTGGGATGTCTGATCACCTCCATCTTGCTTCCCACTTACTACATTCATTTCACGTTCCTTTGACACCACTTCCATGGTATTCGACAAATCTTGAGTCTTGTCATCCGAGACTGATGCTTCATTTACATCTAATGGCCGTGGCTCCGTCAACTCTTGGCCTGGCTTTATGGGACTTGACACCCCTTTCTGCACCAACACCTTTTTCAATATTTGACCAACGTGAATCAAATCAAAATGAGAATTTAATATACATATGTGTGTGTGTGTGTATAAATACGAACTACTTCAGCTGCCAAATTCCTGTAACTCGTAATATATGACGACAAATTGGGCAGTTTTAAGAAACGCAGGATCCTTTGTAGAAAAAGTTGGTCAATAAGTCAACTGCCGACTTAGTTAATTACACTTCTCATGAGGTAGCCAAAGGAACGATGGAGATTGCTCATGAAGCTAACTCAGGAATTATTCGTGACAAACCTCTCCAGGCGTGTCCAGCACGCAGCAGTCAATCAAGCCCATACCTCCTCCATTCATTTACATATATAGACCACACATATAAAAGATCTTTACTTGCATATATATGACGACTACTACATATATGTTTTCTTGGTTTGGGATTGAAGTCATTAATGGAACATGTTTGAGAAGTTTAAAGATGAAACTTTTCAATCTTCTTGGTAGTCTCCTAAATAAAAAAGTACTTAGAACTGAACTGGGCAAACTATACCAAAAATATAAATTATATTGCATATATAATATAATGGAAAAAATGACTCCGCGTCGTGGAAGCTCGCTTTCCAATTCAAGTTTTGCACGTTAACCAATTAATTGTATAATTCTTTTTTTTTTTTTTTCAAATATGTCGTCATGGTTATCTCAATATTCAACAATTGTTGCCTATGCTAAGTAGAAGACAAAAGTAAAATCTCATACGGGTAATTATCGAGAGAGCCAAAGCTGGTAACTTAAAGCAGCCACATGTTTTACCTGTTCTCGCCGACCCCCTTGTCCCTGTGTTTGAATCGTCATGACTAACTGATTCTGCAGTTCACTGTATTTCTTGGTTATCTGATCTAACGTACTCCTCAGTTTCCGATTCTCTTCGTGTAGCCTCTCTAACTCCTTTTGAAGAGAACTCAACTGAGAAACACAATTATTTAAAACAAACCCTTTCATCTAAATTGGGAATATATAATTATTATTAGAAGAATATTTACTTACTTCTGAATTGGGTCTGTCATCATTTTCTATTCTTGAAATCCTACAACCTGAAGTGAGCAGATTCAATCCAATCTGTTGCAGCAGTTAAATATACATACAAGTCAATATTAATTCCCAGTACAAAAGGTCTTACATATACATAGAAAGAGAGAGAGAGAGAGAGAGAGAGAGAGAGAAAGAGAGAGAGAGAGAGAGAGAGAGGAAACGTCTAACGGAGATATATATGTGTGTATATATATATATGAAATCTGAAAGTGAATTAATTACATACGTTTACACCGGAAGAGGATGATCCAATATTTGTGTGCTGATCAGGTGGCTGATTACTGGTGGAGAAGAAATCCATTTCTTTGACAGGAGGCCTTTTATGGTCATCGGGTACACCGGAAATCTGCCCTAGAAAGTCGCCGGAGGAGTGCAGAAAGGTGAATTCGCGTCTTTCTAATTGATTATTATCCATAACTAGCTATAGAGAAATTAAGTAGAGAGAAAAAAGAGTTTTCTTAAGCTAAAATAGAAAGGAAGTTCGCTTGAGGGGGCCGGGAAAGTAATAAAAAAGAGCAATGGGAGGAGAGAGTAAGCGAAGACCAGCCGTTTTCTTCGCGAGGGGATATGACGTCAACCCGAACCATGAAGAGACACGTGTCGTGATCTGGAAGGGAGAATGGGGGAGTAAGGCGTGGGACCCATAATGACGGGGGAGAGAGGGATGGGTGTTTTGAGTTCCGTTAAGAGTGTGGACGGAAGGATGCCGGAGTGAGGCGGTCCACGTGGGGGCGTCTTCTGCGGGTCAACGAGGTTGACGGCACGGCTCTATCTGACGGTGGGTAAGATGAAGGATGTGGGACCCATTTGGGAGGATACCTAATCCCACTGACCTTTGAAGCCAAATCCCACAGATCAGTTTATTGGGATGTGTCAACGTCATCGTCAACGAACCTCACGGAAGAGAAGACCGTCGAGGGAGCATTCGGCTCGGCTTCTTTCGGCTTTCGGCTTAACCTAATTAATTTTTCTGTTGTTTTAAACTTATTAATCATGGCCTTTATGATTCGCGTGCTCATAACTTTTTCATATAGTGACATTTCTATTCCTTTACTTGTTTCCCGTGTTCACATATTCAAACAATTTTTTTTTTTTAATGTAAATTCTCGAATTATTATAATTAATACGTAATAATTAACCTTATGCTACGTAGAAAAAACTAATTAATGATCATAATGAATATTTTGTGATATTAATAATATTTTTTTATGGAAATTTTCTTCAGTTATAGTTTTTTAAATAATTAATGTGTTGAAAAGACTAAATAAATAAATATATATATAATTTATATTGAGAATACATCACTGTGTAGGTTTCCCCGGGTAATCAATATTTACTTATATTAAAAAAAAAATATATATATATAAGGACGTTGAAAGGCAGATTAGAATTTTTCATTCAAATTCATTATATATTTGAGTGGAGCAGTCAGCTATTTTATAACGGGATGGATAATCAATTTCATTTTGCGGGTTTTACCTACTACTAATTATGAAATTCAACAACAAAGGTCTCTTAATCAATTAAGCAAATTCTGAGAACAAATTATACACATGTACGTGTGTGAGAATCATGATTTAAATAGCTATAGACTGACTAGTAGTAATTTGTGCAAACAGTAAAAAAATATATTTAACATATTTTTTTATATCCAAATTATTAATATGCACTGTTTGTGTTTTAATTATACATGTAGAATGTTAATACGGTAGTTTAGTCCTTAATATTTTTATATTTTATTTGAATGTTATGAATTCAAATATCATTAAAAACGTACATTTTATTATTTTATGAGTACGTTATAACTAAATGTACACAATTTATAATACTTGATCTAATAAGATTAAAAGTTTAATTTAATATTGTTATAATATATTGATAGATCATGATGACTAAATTGGACGTAATCTTAACACGACATGACGTATTTAAACGAAAAAATTATTTTATGATAGTTAAATTCTTTTAATTAGAATAGTTAAAACAAAATAAAAATTATATTTAAATTTTTTTTTATCATTAAAGAAAAATATATATGACAGTTGCACTAATAATCTGATATGAGAGAGAATCGTATACAACAATTATTTTAAATAAATATATATATATGATAGTTAGTAACAATTTCATATAACATGCATACATATATATATATATATGTATATGTAATGAAAATGCAACTTATAAGATTTATAAAAACTTCTGTAAATTGTATAGTCATGTATGGTGATTATAACACGGCTGAAAATTTTGACCGTCAACCAAAACCATTATTCATTTGCATGATTTGCACGTAGTAGTAATCCTCTAAAGCATGCTACTTTTTCTTTTAATTCATAATGGAATATAATGCATGTAGTTTCACTTCTTTCAATTAATTGTTATCTATATATCTTTTTTGTTTCTTTAATTTTCTTTCCTCATAATATATGGTTGTAACTCCATTTTTAATTACTGTTGACATCTAAGATTATTGTTTTTTTTTTTCTCATTATTATAAGTATATACTTCAATTTTACAATTCACTTTTCTTTTTTTAATACATTATAATATATCACAATTTGTTTAGGTGGTCAAATATAATTTTGAAACCATACATTTATCAATATTGCAGCTGCAATTACAATATACTAGTTTTTAAGTTAATTCAGAAACTGCAATTATAGGCACATTAATTAGTTTTCAAATAATTATGAGTTTTTATTTTTTAAAACTTATGTTATTAAACGAATGTGGGTGATTTAACATATTTGGATTTACATTTTTTTTGTTTAAAAATGTAATACTCGAGTCTGGAATTCGGTCCGAGATTAATTTTAGCGTTAAAAAATGTATAAAAATCTATTTTTTGAAATTAATAAATTTTAATTTAATGTAAAATTATGGAAAAAAACAATTGATGATTAAATTGAAAGTAATTTTAGAAAAAATTAGTAAAAATTTGGGTTCGAATTGTGTTTTTATAGGAAAAATTTAAAACTGGGGGGTTAGAACGTAATTAAAAGTTTTACACTACATATGACCGTCCAATCAATAATCTCGACTAATCGGAGCGCGTGGTATGGCAAGATACACTGATTCGGCACCACGCGGGAGGCCACGTTGACAATCTACGTGCCCCGCAATCGGACGGCCCGAAAGCGTTCCCATGTGTGTGGACGGTCCGAATCTGTTCCCTCCTTAGGCGCGATCGGATAGTTACGATTAAATGCGATAAACGGTATAAATTCGTTCCCTCTTTCAACGCGATCAGATGGTCGAGATCAAATCGCGATGAACGATATAGATTCATTTCATCTTTAAATGCGATCGGACGATCGAGATCAAACGCGATGAATGGTCCAGATTAATGCGATACGGGTATAAATATTTCGCATCACACCGAACCCAAAATCTAGCCGCTAGCCTCCCGTCTAAGAAGAAGAACCAGTCACCAAAGAAGAGAGCCGACCGCCGCTCGTCCACCAAGCCGGAGCCACCTCTGACTGCCAAAAAAGGTAAAAATTCTCCTCTCCGCTCGAAATTTGATTCTGAGCACCCTCATGGTCAAATCAGAGCAAAAGAAATGGCGAATAAGTCAAAAACTGGGGATCAAATCTGGCGGTGCCGCCACAAGCAAAATCTACAATTGCATCCGATGAGCCCCTTTCCGTTTTTCATTTCCCGTTTTGTGCTATTTTTCTATCATTGTGTTCACCGTTCTATTTTTTACAAGTTGATCGAAGAAAAACATCCAGCCGCGAATGTGAGCTGGTCGCATTGGAAAATTCCACCGCAGGTAGATTTCTATTTTTTTATTTTTTTCGGCCAATCAAGACTCTTTAATGTGTTTTCTCACATAAATAAGTATAAAACCAGCCAAAACCGGCAAAAATTGGCCAAAAATAGCTAGGCCGAAGCAAACTACCGCCGTCGTTGCCGGAGCACAGTGGTGCCGCCGTGCTGGAATTTTAAAATTGGCCGGAAAAGATTTTTAACACCGATTTTGAATTTTTTAGGATATTTTTAAGTACGTGAAGTGTGTTTTAATCTCCGTAGAAAAATTCAGAAAACCAGGAGACCGGCAGTAGGCGCAGTAGAAAGTTTGGTATTTCGGACACCGATTTGGGTAAATATGTTTCACCTTATTCTCTGTTATAGAATTGAAGCTCAATAATTTAAAAAATTTTGAGAATAATTACAAGTTACTAATGGAGGTAGAAATCGGTTAGTCATTTATTTGTTATCTTATTTAACTGATTGTTGAATTTATAGTTTTAAATACATGATGATATACTGCAATGGTTAAATTATTCAATTGTGTTTACTTGATATATATATATATATATATATATTGATTGTCTTGCATGATTTATGGTTAATTGTGAAATTGAAAATTAATATGCAAACAGAAAATTGTTTAGTCATATAAATTAATGAATGGTAGCCTTATTAGATATCATGTGAGATGGTGGACGGATTGGGTACATAGGGAACCCTACTGTGAATGTTGCCTCATATCGAACGAGATATCGAAGAATGATATTTTTAGCGCTCATACCAGACGGAGTATGATGATGACCCGATTCACCTTCATACCAGATGGAATATTGAAGGATGATATTTTTAGTGCTCATACCGGACGGGTATGAGGGTGGCTGGTTAGTTAACAATGTTGAATATTGGTTCACGCGTAGTGGGATATCCTTATGGGTCTCTAGAGATACTAGTAGGTAAATAAAAAAGAAAAATAGTTGTTATTGTTCACTTAAATATGATATTGAAATGTTATTTAAGTTATTGTCTCTATAAGTTGATTTTAAAAATCTCGCAACGTTAAATATATGTAATAAATAGTTTTCTTTATGATAAATGAATTTATTTAAATTAATAGCTCTATTGGTTGTTTTTATGATTTTTACCAATCTTCAATTTCAGTATCGGTGAGTAGTGTGATATTTTTACTGGGTTAGTATAGTTCACCATTTCATTAACTATTTCAGATCAAGAGGACTAAAATTCAAATCCCAATCAACAAGAGAGTTGTGAATAATTCACCACCCGGACTCCCTTCAAAAGCTAGTGAATGTTGTACTAGAATGCTCAGTATATTATCTTTTATTTATTTATTTGATTTTCGTTTGTTATTTTAGAATGGATATTCTCGTAATCCTATTAGGTATTTTAAATTATTGTGTAAGAAATATAAACCCTAAACTCTATTATTTCGCTTCCGCACTTAATTTATGATTTTTTTTCTTTTTAAGTTTCGAACCTTTATAAAAAAATACATGATATATTTTATTAATTAAGTGAATATATATATATATAATAATTATAATATAACCTACTAGCGAGGACACAAGAGAGTATATGAACTTATTTGAATCCATAATCCAAGAGGAGAGAGAAACCATAATCAAGTACTTGTTGATTATGTGAATTTTTACATCAAATTCATTCACAGCTCATGTTTTTTCTTTTTATTATCAATGAATAGATCTCTTTATTTGTATAATTTAAATGTCTCAGTAT